GCCCCTCCGCCTCTGCCCCTCCCGCGCGGCCCCCGCTGCATGCTGGGAAGCGGTGCGAGGCCTGGGTGCCATGGAAACGCACACTCTGCAGCGAGGGTAGTTCCGATGTCACGGGGCAGCGTCCCCAAGAGGCCCAAGACAGGAGTTGGAAGGAGCGCGCGCTCGTGTGTGTTGCTGGGTGTGTGCGCGCGCACAAGGATGCCCGAGCTCTGCGCATGCGCCTGTCCTGGCCCGGGGTCGCAGGGACCGCAAGCAACATGTTGTGTGGGGGCGTGCAGCCCTGACGCGGAGCTGTGTCCCGGTAACGGTGACGCAGGTGTGCTGTGTGCGTCACCGGGATGCGGGGCGCCAGGCAGAGGTTAATGCACTTGCTCCACCGTGTGGACTGCTGTCCATTTCTGCGCAGGCAGCGGGAGGCGGGAAGCATCCGTCAGGAGCCACCACTCCACTCCGGGAGCCACAGGTGTGACAGGCTGAGCCGGTGGGTGTGACGGGCCGAGGTACAGTCCGTGGTGGGGTGTAGGTTTGTGAGACCATGTCTGGCACGGATTTGTGCTTCTTTGGTGGCTTTTCAGCAGATGGCATTTTTGGTGATGACAGATGTGTGATCTTGCAACCTGTAGTTTGTTTCCTTCCTGCTTCTACTGAGTAGTACCTACCTGAGAGCAATGGGCCCCAGGGGACAGAGATCAGAGCCTGAATCTCCTTATGAAAATGACCAACAAGGACAAAGACATGGTCGTGAGATGACAGTTTCAGAGTCCTAAGTGTTCTCCCCACAGGCTATCTGGACGAAAAAAGATGGCCTAAAAGTGCGGGTTTTTTTAGGTGGTGGGAGATCACCCTGAGCCAGCAGAGCTGCGTCATGTTCCAGAACCTGAGTGTTTGAGCCTGATGCTCAGGGAACTCTCAGACGTTCAGGACCTAGGGACAGATGTACCTCCGAGTGTGTTTTCTATGTTAGCTTGTGCAGCAGAAAGACCCTGGTGCCTCATTCTTGTTTTCCTCTCTCCCCAATCCAGCTAAAGAGAAAGCATCCTCAGTTGGAAGACTAATCACACATCGTGAAGTCAAGGTTCAGGTGAGTTACATGTCTTGGTTTTGAATGATTTTCCCCTAGATCTTAACAAGAGACTTAAAGGTGTTGATCAAGAGCATATTGTTCTTGCCTCTGCTTTTTTTTTTTTTTTAAACCAGGGATTAAACCCAGGGACACTTAACCACTGAGTCACATCCTCAGCCCTTTAATTTTGAGACAGGATCTTGCAGAGTTGCTTAGCACCTAGCTTTTGGTGAGGCTGGCTTTGAACTTGCGATCCTCGTGCCTCAGCCTCCCAAGCCACTGGGATTACAGGTGTGTGCTACCACACCCATCTTTTTCCTACCTTTTTTAGCTTTCTGAAAATAGAGTTGTGATGAGGATGAAATTTTTCATACACTCAAAAACATATTGTGGCCCCCTAAAGCATAAGTGCTCAGGACATGCCAGCTTTGGAGGCTGCGTGGAGAGCCTGAGTGTTCACAGACCGTGAGCCACATCCATGTGAATGTGACTGTATACTAAGAGGTCATACAGTGAACAGAGCTTCAGACAGCCCAGCACAGAAAGCTCAGCTTGAGGCCCTTCCTTGAGCTCCATCTTTAACTTTCCAAAATTGCAAAATGCACTCACACATATACCATGTTTATGATACAGTCGTGTTTGTTATACAGTAATGTGTCAGTGTTTCCCCCCTTAAAGAAAAACTGTGATTCCATGGCATTAAGGAAGTGTATCTTTGGGCCAGGTGCAGTGGCGCATACTATAATCCCAGCAGCTAGGGAGGCTGAGACAGGAGGATCACGAGTTCAAAGCCAGCTTCAGCAATGGAAGGCACTTAGCAACTCAGTGAGACCCTGACCCTACTAAAATACAAAATAGGGCTGAGGATGTAGCTCAGTGGCCAAGTGCCCCTGAGTTCAGTCACTGGTATCAAAAACAGAAAAATCTATCTTCAGGCTGGGGTTTTAACTCAGTAGTAGAGTTCTTGCCTGGCACATGTGAGGCACTGGGTTCAATTCTCAGCACCACATAAAGATGAATAAATAAAATAAAGATATTGTGTCCAACTACAACTAAAAAATAATAATAAAAAAAAATTAAAAAGTGCACAGTCTGGATGGCTAAAAAAAAAACAGATGTGTGTTTTGCACAGTTTTGAGGCTGGAAGGCCAAGATAAGGGTGAAAACCTGGTTGCGTTGGAGTGAGGCCTTCAAATTGCAGACTGCCCTTTCCTACCGTGTCCTCACATGGCATAAAGAGAGCTCAGGGCTTGAGGATCCTTTTTGTAAATGCATTAATGCCATTTATGAGGACCCCACCTTCTTGACATAATCACTTACAAAGGCCGCACTCCTGGTCCTTCACCTTGGGGGACAGGATTTCAATTTAGGCATTTTGATTGGACACAGCATTCAGTCAGTGGGGAGTCTGCAGAGGCAACTTGGCTACATTACTTGATCAGGGTCTGATTTGTGTTCCAAAGACAGGGAAAAGATAATCCAGGACAGGAAGGTGATAATGATTTTAGCAACACCCTTTTTGCAATATTAGGCCTTATATCGAATTTCTTTGTTGCTGTAAAAAATTACCATAGATTTATTGGTAACAGAGCCCTAGTGGTCACACATCTGAAATCAGCATCCCTGAGCTGAGACCAAGGTGTTGGCAGAGCTCTGGACATGTTCCTAATAAGGGTTCCTGCAGCTACTGGCCCTGTGTGGCTTCTGACCCTTCTTTTACCAACAAAGACAAGTCAAGTCCTTCCTGTCACCTCATTCTGACCCTGCTTCGGCCATCACATCTTTCTCTTCTTAACCCCCACCCCCACCCCCACCCCGCCTTTGCTTATGGACCCTTTCGGTTACATTGGGCTCACTGAGATAATTCTGGATAATCATCCCTATTTTAAAGTTCAAAGGCTAGCAATTTTAAGTCCATCTGCAACTTTAACTTCCCTTTGCCATTAAGGTGACATTCACAGTGCCAGAATTACCATGTGGATATCTTTGAGACAATGATGCCTGACACAGACCTGTCTATTCAGAGTTTGACCAGTGACTCCAGTGTACCTGCTCCCTACCAATGTGACCCTTTTTGTAGGCAAGCTGTGTGAGTGTGTGTGTGTGTGTGTGTGTGTGTGTGTGTGTGGCTGAGAACTGAACCCAGGGCCTCCCACATGCTAGGCAAGTATTCTACTACTGAGCTACACCCCAAGGCTCCTTTTGATTCTTCATGTTGTTTCTTACAATGGAATTAACACTGACCTGCTATAAAATAATTGAGACCCCTAGGGAGCTCATAAAGAAGAAATTTAAATTATCCACAATCCTTAGGTACAGTGGCCATGCCTGTAACTCTAGCTACCTGGGAAGCTGAAGCTGGAGAATCACAAGTTCCATCCCAGCCTAGGCAACTTACAAAACCCCATCTAAAAAAAAAAAAATTCTAATTGTACCATTCAGAGAAAACCATTTTTAAAATGTTGGTATGTTCCAGACCTCCCAACAATCTTTCATAATTAAATTCAGGATTTTAATGTTTTTTTTTTTCACAGAACATCCCAGTATGTGCTGATGAACAATGCTACAATATCACTGGGTACCTTACAAGTAGGGACTGAACAAATTACACCTGCAAGATTCATGAACACAAATAATAGATGTGGGCAATATAAGTAACATTTCCAGGATAAAAGAATAGGGTTGCAGCAGTTAAAATGTTCATACATACACCTGTAACCTTGGCAATTGAGGAGGCTGAGGCAGGAGGATCCCAGATTTGAAGGCCAGCCTGAGAAACCTAGTGAGATACCATTTAAAAATAAAAACAGCTAGGATATAGCTCAGTGGTTTGGCACTTGTCTAGCACATATGAGGCCCTGGGATTAATCCCCAGCATCACAAAGGAAACAAACAAAAGTCACACTAGTCTCCCTTGTCACTTTAGAACACTCGATGCAGCTGTTCACTCGATGCTAATTTCTCAAACTGTCATCTTCTCAGATCAGTCTCTGAGCTTGATTTTTGATGCAGAATCATGTTTCTGTTCCCCTGGGTGCTTGTGGAGAGGGAGCATGTTTTCTGTAATATATCAGAATCTCCTGTGCTAATTTGATTAAGAGTTTATTCTTGAGATCAGGTTCTGAAAGTTTTTAGTGTTGATTATATAGGCAGCAATTTTGAACAGCACAAACTTCAGCCTAAGAACAAATGGGAAAGGGCAGACTTGACTTTCTTTTATGAAAACATTAAATGGGGCCTGGGATATCACTGGCTTACCATGAACAAGGCCCTGGGTTTAATCCCCAGCACCACAAAAAAAAAAAAAAAAAAAGAAAGAAAGAAACCTAAATGGATGTGTAATGTTCTTGATCCTCCATAACAACAGCTACCTTACATTCATCATTATGTATGACTAGGTGTTTGGGTTGATTATCTTCCTTATAATTGAGACGGTCATGGCTTATAATCTTTTTATTCCACTTTTAACCGTGAGGAAACACACACTATGAGTTGGTACTGTCACTCCAGCCTTGGGTTCAGCATTGTGGTACTGTAGTGGACTTCAGCCTGGAGACACAACTGATCTTCTGTATGGTTAATTTCAGTCTCCAGGTCAGCTGCTTCCGTGTCTCCCAGTCCACCCTGAATCGCCGGTTGCTCTCTCCAGTGTGGTCAGCTCCCGCCTGAAACAAAGAAAGGCATTGCTATCAGGTATGACAGGTTACCTCACAGAACAGAATCTGGTGGCCAAGGCCATGTGCAGCTGGGCTCTGGGCTCCTGGAGGGCCTGGGTTTGTCCAGTACCCCTCCACCTTCCCCAGGGAGTCATGTTCATGTGCATGTTGGGAAGAAAGGGTGAGGAGTGAGGTCACATTAGGTCATTAGGAAACCCAAACTGCAGGTGGTTTTTATGTCTCTTTTTTCATTCCTAGCTCTGATTCTGTGTCTTCAGTGGAAGAAATCCCAAGATGACCAGTCAAGCCCAGAGGTCTGACGCCATGGCCCACGTAAGAGTGTTTTACTTTTCACTCTTGGAATATGACAGTCAGGCTTGAGGGATCCTTGTGAATTGTGCTGAGCTGCTTACTCGGTCTCCCGTACACTCAGTTTTTTCTCCAGAGAACTGTTGAAGTGATGCAGGAACAAAGCCCCTTGAGGGGTGCTCAGTCCTATCTGTGGCTTGCTGCCTTAAATATGTTGGTCCCACTTGACCTCAAGAGGAGACAGATTCTCCGCTGATCTTGTTTTCTGGGTGCACAGGAGGGAACTTTCAGATCCGCTGATCTCAGTCTTAGCATGCAGTGAGATGCCCGGTCTGGGGGGCTTTCACAGCTGGGCAGAATTGGATGTGGCTATGAGGAGGGCCTGTGGACACAAATCACGTTCCCTCCCCCAGTATTGGAAAGTGAGCCAAGGGCGCTCTACCTCTGAGCTATACCCCCAGCCCTATTTTATTTTTGAGACAGGGTCTTGCTATTGCTAAGGCTGACCTTGAACTTGCAATCATCCTGCCTCAGCCACCCAAATAGCTGGAATTACAGGCATGAGCCACTGTACCTGAATCAGCTTTTGTCATTACAGAGGAACACTGTTTAAAGTCTGCTCTGGCAGGATGGTGAATTCGAGGCTTGAAAACATTAAAATATGCCAAGCCCTGTCTTCTAAAATAAAAGACCTGATATTACAGGCAAAAATCTCAGGATTTTAATTTTCTTTTAAAAAAAAAAAAAAGGAGAGGCTGAGGTTGTGGCTCAGAGTGGAGCCCTTGCCTAGCACGTGTGAGGCACTGGGTTTGATCCTCAGCATCATAAATAAATAAATAAATAAAGGTATTGTGTCCATCTGTAACTAAGAATATTCCCCAAAAAGTGGGGGGGGAATACTGTGGGAACCCACACTGGTCGGGCATTTACAAGACACTGGCAGGCTCTGCTGTGACAGCTGGGACTGCCTTGTCTACTCCTCCCGGGCAGGTGCAAGTCAGGGTGTGGGCTGCTTCCTGTGCCTCAGCAGCGCTCAGTGTGGGGGCACCCAGGGTCCTGCCCCCAGGCACTGGTGCCTCAGCCTTCCTGTGACCCACTGTATTTATACCACCCCAGGGAAGCCACTGTCTCTTCTCTCATCCTGAAGCCCTTTCTGTCTCTCATCCTGTTTGCAGGGTTCGGTGACATTTTCAGATGTGGCCATAGACTTCTCTCAGGAGGAGTGGGCCTGTCTGACCTCTGCCCAGAGGGACCTGTACTGGGATGTCATGTTGGAGAACTACAGCAACCTGGTCTCACTGAGTAAGTCGTTGCCTCGCGGTCTTGGACTCTGCTGCCTGGAATGTCTGATTTTCAGGAACACCTTTCAGGAGACTAGCCAAATGTCTGCCTCCTGCTCCCAAGGGAACGTTCTGAGTTTCGCAGTATGGAAGAAGACATTACACACCTTCATCTTCCCATCTGCCACTTATCTTCCCACCTTTGTCTGGCCTCCTGTGTATCTCTCTGCCTTAGTGACCAAGGGGTGAATTGGAATTCTGGGGTATTTATTCCATGGCCATCTTCAAAGAAATGAAGCTTTATCTTAGGCTACCATGTTAATTGCTCTTAATGGTCTTTGGTACTTTGAGGATCTACCTCAGACCCAAGGTTATTTGTTTTTTTTTTTTTGGGGGGGGGGTAGTTATTGGGGATTAAACCTAGGAGCACTTAACCACTGATTCACATCCCCAGCCCTTTTTTATATTTTATTTAGAGACAGGGTCTCACTGAGTTGCTTAGGACCTCGCTAAGTTGCTGACAGTGACTTTGAACTCACGATCCTCCTGCCTCAGCCTCCTGAGTCGCTGGGATTATAGGCACACACCCCACACGGCTCCAGGGTGATATTTTGATACATGTATGTGGTAATAGTGATCAGATCAAGATAATTAGCACATCCATCACCTGAAACATTTTTCCTTTGTTTGTAGCCAAAGCATTTAAGTCCTCTGTTCTGTGTCTACTTTGGCATATACAATAAGTCATTATTAACTATAGTTCCCCTATAGTGGTGTGGAGCACTAGAACACATTCCTCTTGTCCAACGGCAATTTTGTGCCCCTTTGCCAACCTCACCTACCTCCCTCCACCCCCCGCCACCTCTGGTACCCACTGCTCTACCCTCTACTTCTGAAATCGCCTCCTTTAGCTTCCACGTGAGAGAGAACGTATGGCATTGATTTTTCTGTGCCTGGCTTATCTTAGGCTCCTCCGTGTTGCCCTAATGTTAGAAGCTTATTCTTTTTTATGGCTGAGTATAAAAGCACAACTCTCCAACTACATGTTTATGTTGTTTCATAGTCGTTCTGCGTTTGATTTTCTTGGATTTTCTAGGAATGCCATCACATCATCCACAGAGTATTCTTGTTTCATCTTCACTTTTGAGATTTTTCCCTCTAATTCCTTTTACTGAAATGTGTCAGCTGACAGGAAACAACGGGGCTTGGCCATCAATATGCTCTTCCTATTTGATGTTAGTGGCAATGACTCCGGTGCTTCCCCTTTGACTGTTGAGGTGCCAGGAGTAGAATCTGCATTACCAGGAGCTCTGGGTGACCCTTATTTGTTCTACTGAAGGCCTTTAGGTTTTGGCTTGGGTTTAGGTTTGATTTTGTTTTCCTGTAAAGAAAATATGTTGTTTTTCTTTCAGATTTGGAATCATCCTATGAGGCTAAGAGTTTAGCGATACAGAAGAATATCTACAAAATGAATCTTCACAAAAGGAATTCAGGTAGCAAAAGTAAGTCTCATCCCCCGAACAGGATGCGTGAAGGTGAGTCTGAAGTCCCACAGGGCTCTCAAGAGAGAAACCGCAGTCGAGTAAAAGTCAACTCGAGAAAGGCGCCTGCCAGCAGAGACCGCACCCCTCCGAGACCGCACGCACGGCCGCACAGCAAGGAGAGCTCCTACGAGTGTAAGGAGTGCGGCAAGGCCTTCAGCCGCGGCTACCAGCTCAGTCAGCACCAGAAGATCCACACGGGCGAGAAGCCCTACGAGTGCAAGGAGTGTAAGAAGGCCTTCCGCTGGGGTAACCAGCTCACTCAGCACCAGAAGATCCACACCGGGGAGAAGCCCTACGAGTGTAAGGACTGCGGCAAGGCCTTCCGCTGGGGCTCCAGCCTCGTCATCCACAAGAGGATCCACACTGGGGAGAAGCCCTACAAGTGCAAGGATTGCGGCAAGGCCTTCAGGCGTGGCGATGAGCTCACTCAGCACCAGCGGTTTCACACCGGGGAGAAAGACTACGAGTGCAAAGACTGTGGGAAGACCTTCAGCCGTCTGTACAAGCTCATCCAGCACAAGAGGATCCACAGCGGGGAGAAGCCCTACGAGTGCAAGGACTGCGGCAAGGCCTTCATCTGCGGCTCCAGCCTCATCCAGCATAAGAGGATCCACACTGGCGAGAAGCCCTACGAATGCCAAGCATGTGGGAAGGCCTTCACGCGGGTCAACTACCTCACTCAGCACCAGAAGATCCACACTGGGGAGAAGCCTCACGAGTGCCGGGAATGTGGGAAGGCCTTCCGCTGGGGCTCGAGTCTTGTGAAGCACGAGAGAATCCACACAGGTGAGAAGCCCTACAAGTGCACAGAGTGCGGGAAGGCCTTCAACTGCGGCTACCACCTCACTCAGCATGAGAGAATCCATACCGGTGAGACGCCTTACAAATGTAAGGAGTGTGGGAAGGCCTTCATTTATGGGTCGAGCCTTGTCAAACACGAGCGAATTCATACAGGAGAGAAACCCTATAAGTGTAAGGAGTGTGGGAAGGCCTTTAGTCACGGCCATCAGCTCACACAGCATCAGAAAACACATATTGCAAAGTCGTACACATGTAAGGATTGTGGAAAGGTATTCAACCATGCGAACCATCTTAGAGAGCATCAGAAGACACATAACAGCTGAAACCTGCCAACATACACGACACACCAAGGCCTCCCTCCTGCATTCACTCCTTCCTCAACATGAGGGAAACCCATGATTTAATTTAACATCAGAAAGCCTTCACTGGTCATCCTTCTAACTACAGAACATCACAAGTCATACTAGAGGCAAACTTGGAGAGTTGGGAAGTCACTTTTCTTAATGAGTACGACATGCTCAGTCATTTTTACTGGACAGGTTGGCTGAGCAAATGCACAGAGCTTGCCGATACCATTCCATCTTTTTTATGTTTGAGGTTCATTCTAGGAACAACTCTGCTGATGTAATGTGAGGAGGCCGCCAGCCATGACCCGTCCCCTGCCAGTTATCACCGTCCACCTCTACCCCCGGTGAGACACACAGCACCCTGCTCATGCTCATCGCCTGTGCATTACAGATGCTCCTTGGCACACAGTAGGCTCATATCCCAACAAGCCCGCCCTACTTGAAAAGACATTCACCACTGCATTTAATACACCTGACTCAACAAACATGGTGGGTCAGCCCAGCCTACCTGAAATGTGCCCAGAACACTCCCATTAGCCTAAGTTGGGCAAAATCATCTAACACCAAGGGTATTCAATAATAGTGGTGAATGTCTCACCTAACTTATTAAATATTATATAGAAAGTGAAAATCAGTGGTTCTATTGGGCACACTTCCCACCATCGGGAAGCTCTAAAATAGTGATTCTTTTGGGCACACTTTCCACCACTGGTAAGTTCTAAAATCAGTGGTTCTCTTGGGCACACTTCCCACCATTGGGAAGCTCTAAAATCAGTGGCCGTATTGGGTAGCTTTCCGCCATCGTGAAGTTCTAAATCAGTGGTTCTACTGGGTAGCTTTCCGCCATCGTGAAGTTCTAAATCAGTGGTTCTATTGGGTAGCTTTCCGCTATAGTGAAGTTCTAAATCAGTGGTTCTACTGGGTCTGCTTTCCGCCATCGTGAAGTTCTAAATCAGTGGTTCTATTGGGTAGCTTTCCGCCATCGTGAAGTTCTGAAATAAGTGATTCTACTGGGTAAGTTTCTGCCATCATGAAGTTCTAAATCATGGCTCTACTGGGTACGCTTTCTGCCATCGTGAAGTTCTAAATCAGTGGCTCTATTGGATACTCTTTCGCACCATCGTGAAGTTGAAAAACCTTGGCTGTTTTGGGTACACTTCTTGCACATTATGTTAAAAAGATGAAAGTTGAAATATCTGTAAATCCAGACCGTCTATATTTGAAGAATTCAAATTCGTAGAATGTATGTTATGTGCTTTGTTTGTACACAGGGATAATCACACCTACGTAAAACTGCTATGTGGAAATTAAATGTTCGGTACATGTAAACTCTCTGAAAATGTATCTGGGGTATTATTTCAGATCAGTATTTATCACCTATTGTTCTTGTGATCATCACCATTAGTGTTCTTAGTGAGTTATCAAGACCACCTGGAGTGCAGTGAGTTTAGAAGAGATAATCGAACATCTAGGTTTCAGAGAGCACAGAAGATGACTGTCACATCTTGGGCTGGACAGTCATGTCGGTGCACAGAAGGCATGGACATAAAAGGTTAAGTGCAAGGCCTGTGAAATGATGCCGCAAGATGGAGAAAGGGCAAGCAGATGCTCACTCTGCATGCACCTACGAGGGACTCAGAAAACAGATCAGCTAAGAGGGGAAGAGTAAGCACTTCACAGAGAAGGCTCAGCAGCGGGGGAAGCACATGGAAACAAGCTCAGCATTGTGGCTCTCCAAGTACAGTGCCAGTGAAGACGGGGGCGCCGGATGGCACAGGTCAAAGTCACAGCAGCTGAGACTGTACTTCAAGTGTCTTACCACGAAGGACAAGTGAGGTGAGGACGTGTGTGATTCAGTCATTCCACATTGTATACATGTATCAAAACATCCCTTTGTACTCTGTAAATATAATATAAACAGTAAAAAGTGTAATTCAGTTGTTTGTCAAAAAATACTAATAAAGAAATTTTTAAAGGCACATTTGAGCTGGACTCTTGGGGAGGAGCTAGGGCTGTCCATAGCCTTGCAGAGGAGGCAGGCAAGTGGCTGTCCTGGGGAAGGAGCCAGGCCAGCTCTCCCGGGAGAGAGCAGTCAGTCTCAGAAGGGACCTGAGCCACCATAAGCTCCTGAAGTGAGGTACAGGTTGTCTCTGGGGAAAGCCAAGCACCGAGCAGGAGCTGAGACTGCGAGGGCTGTGTACGGGGCATGGGGGTCGGAGAGAGGAGAGCGAGCCTGGCCATGGGGACCAACTACCAGAGCTCAGGGCCGGGTTCTGGGAGACTGATGGGGGTGGGGCTCAGAAGCTGGGAGGGGGGCCTGGGAGGTGCCGGGGAGCTGCCTCAGCCAGTGGAAGACCCTTCAGCACAGGGCAGACAGCCATGTCTGGGCCCCGGGGTGTCCTGTGGAGGTGGGCAAAGGCTCCAGAGCAAGATCAGAGCAGGGCTTAAGTTTGACTCTTCTCAGGGTTGGGGCTGCATGTCAGCTAGAGCTACTTAGTGCTCACTGTTTGGCTAAGTGACAGATTGAGTCCTTGAGGGAGCATGTTCGGGTAAGGGTCAGACCCAGGCCTCAAGGCAGTTCCTTTCTGGACCATGTGCCACACCAGACAGCCTCATAGAGGCCACCATCCTTCCTAGTACCCCCTTCTCTATGGACTCTAAGCCAGCCACAGCAGAATGGACCCAGGGGCCCCCCAGAGCTACATTAATGGGTGGGCACTGCCCTTCCTGCCAATTCTATATAGACAGGAGTGGGCGGGGGGCAGTAAGGAGGGCAAGGGGACACGTGTGTGGTGAGGAGGGGCTGGAAGTCCGTGGAAGGGGTGCGCTCCACGGTGGAGCAGAAACAGGACTGTGAGGCTCCCGAGCAGAAAGGCAGTCTGAGCGCCTCCTGGGTGACTGACAGGAGGTGGAGCCGGGCACCGCGGTGGCGAGGCAGTAGGATCGCACATTCCAGGCCATTGGGGGCAGCTTTGTGAGACCCTGTCTTAAGCTGAGAAAGGGCTGGCGGACCCCTGTACCTGAGAGGCACCTCCACCGTACTGTGTGCCCGCGGTTCTCCTGAACTCACTCTGCCGGCTCACTGGATCCAGCCCCTCGGCACCATGCTCTCTGCTGCTGCCCCACCCAGTGCCTGCTGGGCTCTGGGTCCTGTCACCGCACGACACCCCTGCCCCTCTCTGCTTCTGAGTGCAGCTCCTGTAGGTCCCTCATTGGGAACATATGATAATTGTCTTCCTGTGCCTGGTTTATTTCACTCACTTAGTGTCCTCCAAGTTCATCCACCTTATCGCAAATACCCATGTACTGTATATGCGAAGACCCCTAAGGGGAGTTTGATGTTTTTCACAAGCCGGGAGCAGTGGCAGCACGCGCCCACCCATACCCAGCCGCGAGGGAGCCTGAGGGAGGCTGAGGCAGGAGAGCGAGGTCATCCTCAGCAATTTAGCCAGGCCCTCGGCAATGTACCCAGACTGTCTCAAAATAAAGGGGCTGGGGGTGTGGCTCAGAGATAAAGCACCCTAGGTTCAATCCCCAAGGTTTTCACCCCCCAAAAAATAAGTACCTGAGGGAATGAACATGTCCCCTCTTGGTTCAGCCATTCACAGTCCATAGATGTCAAGACATGAGTCATGCATGTACAAAAATTTTTGTCAACTAAAAGAATAAACAAGACCGGGTACTGTGACCCACACCTGGAATCCAAGCGGCTCAGATGACAGAGGCAGGAGGATCACGAGTTCAAAGCCAGCCTCAGCAATTTAGCAAGGCGCTAAGCAACTCAATAAAATACAAAATAGGGGTGGGATGTGGCTCAGTGATCAAGTGCCTGAGTTCAATCCCTGGTACCCCCCCCAAAAAAAAATAAAAAACTTTTCAAGGGGGCTGGGTTTGTGACTCAGTGGTACTGCACTAACCTAGCACGTGTGAGGCCCTGGTTCAATCCTCAGCACCACATATAAATAAAAAAATAAAAGTATTATGTACAACTAAAAAATAAATATTAAAAAAAAAAAAAAAAAACACTTTTCAAGGCATTCTGCTCCCTGGTGCTGGAGGGCTCTGAACATGCCCAGCCTTCACAGTCCAGCAGGTCTGGCCATCCTGGTCCAGGGGGCGCCTGCAGGGCCCCAGAGCTTCTCTTCTCTGAGCTCGAATGGACTCAGCATTAGAGGTGTTTTCAAGGAGAGCTGGGGAGCTTGAGGCTGGTGGCTGTTGCTCATTCTTCTCCAAGCTGTGCCAGATCCCAAATCCAAAACAGAGAGCAAATCCAAGTGGGGAAGTGGGACAGCCAGGTGGGAGGCAGTCACTGCTTTAGCCTCAAGGGTTTCCACGTCAGGCTGGAGACTGGTCCGGGGGAAGCTATAGAGGACTGTGGAGCCCTCTTCCCCCAGAAGACCACACACCGATCGCCATCCAGACCCCAAATCACACCCAGGTCCCACAGTGATACCAAGGGGAGGGCGGGCAGCACAGGGACCTGTGGACCAAGCCATGTCCCCAAGCACACCAGCCATCTGAGAGCTCCCGTCCCCCTATTCACATTGTGCAGTTATGCCAGTCCATGCCGGGGACCCCATGGGGCACTCCAGAAGAGACGGGATAGGGACGGATTAGCACTGAGTGCCAGGGAGCAGGCGGGGGCAGTGAAGGACTGCTGGTTTCTGTGCCCGCTCCCTTCATGTTCTCCCAGGTCTGTGCTCCAAGATGGATAGCCTAGGGACAGCAGGTCTCCTACCTTGAAGTGAAGAGGGGTGCTGTTCTGGGGCTGTCTCCAGATGGCCAGTACCACCCCAACAATAAGCAGCAGCACAGCCACTGTCACGGAATCAGAGTCTACAGAGAACAGGCGCTGGGGCCACAGGCGCCAGGATCAGGCACAGGATGGTAAGCAGGGGGATTGAAAGGGACATTGGGGAGGACGGGTCCAGTTCCAGAGCCGAGTAAACCAGGCCCCTGTCCACATCCCCAAAAAC